TTGAAAGATTAGCTTTTGCAACATGTATATATAATTTCACAGAAATTTAAATAAAAATTACCAGAAAGGAAAATAGGGAAGAAGGTTTAAACTACCCCTAATAAGTTTTGTGTCACATTCTTATGGCTCCCTAGAAGTTTAAATGAATGATTTTCTTGAGCAAAGTATAATAGGTTCATTGGTCCTTCAAAAATATCCAAAAGATCATAAGGATATTTGAAGCACGACTCCAAACAACCTTTATGAGTTCATTTGAATTTATTATATTGTTCAGATAATCATCCCAAGTTCAGGGTTTAACTAATTAAAATACTCTATGCTTAGTAAAATTGATGCTTTAATTATCTCATGAGCGGGGTACTTAATTAATCATTTAATGTTTCACTTAAAATGTATATAAATTGGTACCCTCAGTTATTAAGACTTTTATGCTTACAATTAAGGCTGGGCTTGTAGTGTTTGCAAATGTTCACAATTAGTTATGTTTCTTAAAGCACATTAAGCAAATCTAAATTAAGTCTAGTTCACTGTTAATCCCTTAAGACTTATGCGTGGATAAATTCAAGACTTTTTAGGGATGTCAGATTTTATGTTATTTTTAATTCACATTAATGATCACATCACTCAAACATTCAATAGGGATTTTAAATTGGTGAATTATCATCTTTCCAAAATCTAACCCCTCACCTAGGGATCATTTAATTCAATTAACTCTTGAATTATGATAATTGGGGAAAATTACCATTATACTTTTACTGTAGAAAAGTGAGGTATTAATCTCTACCTTTTAATCTCTTGTATTTCAATCATCCAAAAGACTTTATTATGATCAAAATTACTCATTTACCTTTTATTCAATCCTAAAATTTAATTAAGGCATAAAAATTCAAAATTACCATTTTGCCCTTAAGATTTCCCATTCATAACTTATTAAATAGAACTCAAATGACTTTGAAATTTTTATAGTACCCCACTCTTGAGTATCAGAGGAGAAAATGTGATAATTCAAAATTTAATTTAATTTAAACAATTATTTTATTCAAAAATAGGGATTTTCAAAGTTAATTCATTTGATCAATCAAAACAAACTATCTATCCTTAAGAAAATTGTTGGAGGTACATCTAGGCCAGAGGACCACAAGGACTAATTTTCATGATTTTCAAATTATATTTTACTTATTAGATTTATTTATTGATTTTGAGTATTAATTAAATATAAAATTAACTTTTTTATTTTTATTAAATGTCTCGGAGTCCAGGGGACCGAAAGAAACAAATCCCATATTTTATAGTTAAATTTTATATTTTTATGATTTTTAATTTATTCATATTATAATTATTTTAGTGCAAAATTAAGAAAAATTCATTTTTAAGCCTTTAAAAATTTATTAGTTTATTTAGAAAATTAGGAAAAATATTTTAATTGCTCCCAACTGATTAGGAAACCAATTGTGACATTTTGATGCATTCTTTAATTCTAGTGTTTTTTATTTTTTTTAGTTATTTTTAATTATTTAAAATTTAAAATATACCTTAAAAATAAAATATTTATTTTAATTTTAATATTATTTTTCTTAAGTGTATCTAATCATAAGAAACTCAGAAAATCACTTTTTATAATTATTTGACTTTTAATTTAATTTATACAATTATTTTAACGCAAACAAATTTAGCTTAAAAAATCAAGTTTTGTAGGTAAATTAATTTTTAAAGATCTCAAATTTTTACAGAGATTTAATGTGTCGAGTTTTTACAGTGCTCATTTAAAAACTTACTATGCTTGTTGGTTTGAAATTAACTCTTCTAGTTGAGATTTTAAGTCAACGCAACCATGACAGGGACTTGATTCTTGAAAACATTTAAATATAAAGTTTGTTTGGGTTGCTTAGTTTATGCCAGTCTTAATGAGGATCAAACTAAGTGATTTAAACTTATAAACACTTATCTTATAATGTTGATTATTATTTCAAAATTACTAAACTCGCCAACTCCAGCATATGCAAAGAGAAGGACCTGAATTATTAGGTGGGGTCTTCAACCCTATTCTATAGAAAATGTGGCTTGATGAATTACCTTTCAAAATATGAATTATTTGAGTACAAGTTTGGTCTTAACCCGCACAGCATTCCTAAGCTATTGCTTAGAAATATTTTTCATTTTAAATGGAGTCCGTACGGTTTAGTAGTGTCATATTTTTGAATATATTAAAGAATTTTATAAGATTTAAAGACTTTCACAATCATTAAGTGATGAATTTGAAATGGAGTTTGCATTAAGAGACAAATGCAAGATTTTGGAAATATGCATAAGTGAATTACTTATAGAGACACTCTAAAGCATGCATAATTCTAAGTGTATCTCAAGTGTTAGTCATCTATGTCCTGAGTGTGGGGCTCACATTGCAAGATAATACTGACTTATGACATAGCCAAATGTTTATGTAAAATTTGAATTTGTTCATAACTTAAAATATTTGTAGAAGTATCATGATTTTAGGCTTCAAAAAGGACGACTGCTGTCTGCTAGCAAATAATAATATGAATTTGGTGGCATGATTTCCAAACTTTGAAATCTCGAGCTTTGAATTATTTTTGAACACTAAGAGCCTAAATTTGAAAGCTCAAAATTTCAAATATTTTTAAGACCCCAGGAGCCTAAATTTTAAAGATTAAGTTTTTAAATAATTTAAGCTTAAAGAGCCAGAATTTTAAAAATCCAAAATTTTATATATTTTTTAAAACTAGAAACCAAAATTTAAATAGCTCAAAGTTTCAAATTATTTTAAAATTATGATTGACATTTTATATTATATTTAAGTTCATAATTCCAAGATTTTAAGTTATTTATAAATCCAAATCACCAAAATATCCGGCAACCTTCTGACATCAATCCCCATTAGAGGGAGATGAGAGAGTATCAACTTTTTCAATTATCTTAAAAAACTCGCTAGTCAGTGTCTACAACTAGGAAACAAAAATATGTATTCAACCCACAATTTTAAATGACGCTAAGGTCTTTAATGTACCTGTAAAAAAGGGTCAAATCACAAGCAAGCATTTTCCCAAACGCTACTTTACTTTTCTTGAACAGTGCTTAATTCCCAAGAACAAGTACTTACATTTCCCATAACAAGTATTTAAATCCCCTAATTTTATATAAAAAAAGTCAAACAAATCCTCAATTTTCTTGAACATTACTTAATTCTCAATGACAAGTACTCGAGCTTCATCGAATGAATGTTTTAAAACATTGCCCATTTTGTTATACCTTTTATACCTTTGCGAGCGAGATCGGCGACAACAACAATAATCGATGAACAACTAACAATAAAATAAACAAATACAACACTTTTTTTCTAATTTTTTTAAATACAATAAAATACTATTTGTAAGAAATTGTTCGGTTTGGGCTCAGCTAGCTTCGTGTCGGCTTGGGTCAGCACCAAAAGCAAGTTGCGGCTCAGGATAGGGAATGGCAGAGGGCTTTGACGAGGATTTGCGTGCGATTTCGAGAGCAGCTTCGGGCAGGGCAGAGTGGCAAATGATTTGCACGAGAGGGAAGTGGGTCGTGTTAGGGGCAAAGGGTCTCGAGCTGAGGAAGCGACGGCATGAAGGTTGTGACGCAAGGAAGCGAAGGAGAAAGTAGATGAAGGCTCCAATTGCTGAGGTCAAAAGGATTACGGCCTCAGTGTAGGCTCTTGGTGCAGGGAGGAACTGCGGAGGGTTCCGGTGTAGAATTCGAGTGACTGGATTGTGAATCACCTTCGATCATTTTTAGAACATTAAAGAAACCAACAATAAATGTATTGCATGGAGATGTTTTTGTAGGTGTTATCGAAAAAAGTGGCCGGAGAAGGATAAATGTACTTGCATGGCCTTGTAGGCACTACACTGATTTGTCACAGCATTATGATTTACGTACTTATTATTTTGGAAGATTTACATGTCTATCACTCAATTTCAATTCTTATGTACTTACATAGGTATGCTTAGAAAGGTGCATTTCACTTCTTAAAAATGAAAATGGTGATATTATATATGTAATATAAAAGATTTGGGCGGTATTAATATAAAAGTAGGTGTTATATATATGCTACATAGAAATTGGGTGGTATGTATGTAATCACCCCCCTATTATTTTACAATCTCATGGGTGTAGAGAGTGAGGATGGGAAGATTTATTGGCTCAGTCAACCTTGATTTAGAGCCAGGTGACCATTTTGAACAAGTCACTCTCCCTAACGTATATCTATGGTTGGATAAGATGGGCACATTGAACAATGCGTAAGCCTTAGCTTTTATAGCTGTGCTTTTTGAAAATTACTTTTCAAGTAAAAGAATATCTAATCAAACGCCATTTTTTTTTCTATAACATCTGTTTACATTGAACTTTAAAATTTGCATTTCTTATACCAATTTTTAAAAGTGGTTTTTATAAATTAAAAAAAAAAGGCAATCAAACAAAGCACAAGGTGGTCCATTTAAAGCTCTACTCAGAACTCATCTAACGTGTACTAGACTCAAAATAGATTGCATTTTTGTATTTGAGTTTTAGTGGAGGAATACAGCTACATTTAAGAAGTCCAATGAGACTGGAGTGGCACCACATTAATCAAAAAATAAAACTGCGTTTTATACTCATCAATTTAATAAATTTCTCAAATCATCTCTACATCATATTATGTAAAAAAACATGGTGACAAATCATGGCTTTCTAGTGTTAATAATATGATGTAAGAAAACATGGTGACATAATATGATGTAAGAAAACATGGTGACAAATCATAACTTCGAAATGTCTATTCATCGAAGTTAAGAAGGCAATAAGTAGGGGCATGTAAATGCAGCATAATTTTAATGTTCTTTTATCATAAAAAGCTCATTTGTAAACGTAGATTTCATCAACCATGTTCCGAGTATTTGTCAATCATTACACGTTGTTTTGCACCCTGTAGCACATGAATTAACCATATGAGAGTCAATAGCTTCCCCAGACAATCAAACAAAAACAAATAGATAACACAAATTTAATAATGGACAAAGAAGTACACTACCGTTCTCCCAAAAAATAAAAAAAAAACAAAGGACAACAAAATCTATAAAATAAATAAAATGTGTAACTGCACCTCCAGCATTTTTTTGGTTACATACTTATCAAAACAAGCCGGTAAACACGCTACCTATTCAAAAGCACACTACCCCCCAAACTTCTCAAGGTACAAAAAAAAATTGCCAATTGCCTAAAGGCTCCCTTAGCATGATTGTAAATTGTAAAATTTGAAAATGATTATGTAAAAAACTTGTATAAATAAAATTAACATAAATGTGAGGCAAAATTTACAGCAGAATAAGAGGATGTTCCACTGAAGTAACTACTGGAGATTCGAGCAAGCCTGAAGCAGAAGTGGCCCGACTTTTGAATCAAGCATCTCACAGAGTACTTCCTGTACCTCATTGGAACCATGCTCGCAGCTTATCAAGCATGAGAGAAGAGGGAAGAACTCGGCCAATTTCTTCTTGAAAGAATTTGCTTCCATTTCACAGATCACATGCAGAGTTGCAACAACAACTGAAGCTCGTGCTGCAAGCTCTCTTCTTTTTGAGGAACCTGTTGGGATTTGCCACAAGGGTCTAACCTGCTTGGCTGCTGCAGAAGCTGGGTGCCAAATTTTTGGGACATCAACATATACTTGAAGGATCTGAGAGCACAGGTTAACTAGAAGACTAATCGCTTCGGTTTCCCCAAAGCCGGTTGGGTTACGTACAACATTTTGTAACAGGGTTAGGCATAGGTAATAGGATTCATTCTCGAGACGGAGTAATGGAGGGTCCTGCATCTGGGTCATGGGACCCAAATCTATTAGCCTTGATCTTAGCTCATTATCACTGTTGATCTTATGAGCATGCAATGCGATGCTATGAAGGGCTTCGAAGAGTACAATGGTGTTTTTTGCTGAGAGAATATCTCTAAACATGTTTACAATCTCTGCCACAGCCTGAAAAAATGATTACAGATGTTTGAAGCTTAAGGATGAAGTAGGGGAGTTCATTTTCATAGAACGTGCAAACGATTGACAAAAAAAAAATATTTCAGTGTTATGAGCAATCGGTGGCATCCAAAGCAATTTTGAAGGCAATGGATGCAAAGAGTTGTTTGAAATTGCCAAGTTCAAAATTTGGTTCATAATTGATGCAGTGCAAGACGCCTAAGTTTAGCTTAGAAAATGTTAACATTTTTATAGGCCAATTAAGAAGAACAGAATCAGATTACAAATTCTGAATTGGACCACATTTTAAGCTTTTATTAGCCCATTTTAATAAATGGCCAAATTTTTCCTTTTATTGAAATTGTATTTATTTTATTAAGTTGCTTTATCTTCTTTCAAATAATGTTAGCTTTGAAATTCATTTCAGAATAAGTTTTAATTGGCATCCAAGCGACCCTCAACATTTATTTGGCAAACTATTTTTTTCTGTTGCTTCTGCCCAAAATACCTTGCACTTCCGTTGACTTCACCAGAAAAGCTCCATTGCATTTTGCCTCGTCAAAATCATTTATAACAAAGCAAAAAAATTTAGCCACTTACCTCCTCGAATCAATGTTTTTCAAAAGCCAAGACAAAGCCACGCATTGCCTTCCTCACTGGCTTTTTAACATATCAATCAAAAAGAAGAAAAACCTATCTTGATATCAATTGCCCTCTTTCCTTCCAAACACAAACAATGGACACTATAAGAAACTCTTAATCTTTTCATCGCCATCCGCTTAAATTTTGATGTTATCATATCTAAAGATAAATAGGGACAAAATATCATGAAGATCAGCATTAACTTTTATCTCACAAAGCAATCTGACCATGTCAATTATCTTATAACCCATAAACATTATTGATGGCTCTAGTTCATGTTACCAAACCTATGATGATGCACAAACCAGCTACTAAATAAATGTTCAATAAAATTTTAGCTCATCTGCCTATGTTCACCAGATTAATTGCTTAAACCACTAGATCACTACACCAAAACAACCACATGGCACTCAACTTCACCGCCATTCTTTTGAGCTATGATGATAGTTCTTCTGAAGTTGATTACAATAATGAACCTCTTACTAATGACGAATTTTAGGATAATGGTACTTGTGAAAATATTTGTGAAATAAAAACTATTTATAGTGTTGAGCTAGACTTGAGGATAATCATGAATTATTAATAACAAAGTTCATTACTATTTCTATGATTGAAGTGTTATCAATTGTTAAGCTAAAGCCTACGTCGGATCAAATGTCTGAGCCTGACAATTTTGTCTCGGAATAGTGTTTCCATCAGATTTTTTTGAGATTCCTGATCCAATTCAATTATCATTATTTAAGGAGACGTGTTACTTAAAATGATTATCATTTGCTTCAGTCACACTTATTAGAACTTAAAATTGTGTTATCATTGTGACCATCATGTAATCAACTTTAGGTCATATTGCAAAAAATGTTGTGTATGAAATTTAGAGCCACCAAACACCCAACACCAAGGTTTTGAAAACCACCAACATCGAACCAGAATAAAAAAATGTTCAAGGGTCATAAGTTGAACTGGGGACTAAAACGATTAATATGATAAACATTAAAATTATTTAAATATGAAATAAAATTGTATAATATGTATATGAAATTTATTTTAAATTAAAAAAATTATAAATATAATATATAAATATAAATAAGTTTATGATATGTATTATCAATACCCAATTCTCATAGCCCAGCACAAAATTTCCATAGATTGGCCCAACCCAGCCAAATTTTCATTTCTGTAGTCATTCACGTAACTCTTTTTCACACATCATTGGGGGAGTTAAACTGTAAATTTAAATTAAAAAAGAAAAAGAAGCTTAGAGGTCACAGTATTATTGATCTTAATTTGCATGTTGATTTCATTTTTAAATCAAGTATAAAAATTTGAAGTTTAAATCTAAAATATCATACCTTTGGCCTAATAAACTTATTTTAAACCAATTAGATCATTGATTAATGTTAATTAATACTAAAAAATTGATATGGGCCCTGTTTTACAAAATTTAAATTAACTGACAGATTCTTTCAAATCAGTATGGATTCACCGATTCACTGATTAAACCGCCAATTTGTGGGGATTCCAGATGATTTGAAGCGGGAGACGGTTTTGTATGAACCTAAACCGGACCAATGATCGGTTCAAAATCAAACCCATTAAACCGCTCGGTCTGAACCAACCTTCATAAGCAAGCCTAAACCTCTGTAACGCGTGCCTTTTAGCCTTCATCCAACTACTGCTCATTGCACAACATGGTCCTTTCTTCCACTAATGATCCAACGACACCACTTTCTTTGATTTGGTTGCCTCTAACAAACTCTTTATAAGATGAGTTCTTTGTTGCCTCTAACAACCAAATAGTGGAGTTCAAATAAGAACATATTTTTGGAGATCATTTCAAAAAGTTTAAATGAACTACAACTGAACTAAAGTTAAATTATTTCTCAACTTTGCTAGGCTTTATCTATTTATGGCCTATTTATAGCCGAATTTTCTTATTTCCAAACATTTTATTTTAGGTGCATTTACATACATACCCCTCAATTTAAATGAATTTACAGACTAACACCTAACTTTTGCTTTATACAATAATACCACCCAAATCTTTCAAATTACCTAATAAATAACACAACTTAAACTTTTAAAAACGGAAATACACATTTTCTTGCATAGATAGGTGATATGTATGTAAAAATTGAAGTTCAGCTGTTAGATAAGTAAATAAATTGGAATTGAGTGTTTTGTAAATTTTCCTTTATTTTATTATGGAGCATTATCATTCTTTTTGAGATAATTTTAAGGTTGAATTATACTTCCATATAGGAATAGATGTGATTTTTAATTTAAACTTTGATCTTATTCTTAATACTCCGTTTCCATAAATAGAGATTGATGGTTTGAAAAAGATATTATTAATTAGTTTACGAGTAGAAATTATTTTGTGCCTCCTGATCCAAATTGTGCTTGTGGTTTTCTCGCTTCCCACCCCCCGTCCATCAATATTTTGGTTCAAGATATTTCTTTTAATGCAGCAAAGCTTTGATGGATAATTCAAGCATCAATTTTAAGGAAACATTTGAAAAAAGGTTATCCTCGTGATGGAGAACTTCTAGCTGTTTTATAGCAAACTCTCACCAATGATTTGGACAATCTGAGTCGCTCCTAGAACTGAATTATCATATAACCCGAGATTTTCCTCTGAAAAAGAATCGACCGCAGTATTCCACTCCCCTACCAGGAGAACAACCAGTCGAGATCAAGAACTGCTTAAAATGGAAATTTTACATAAAATAATAGACCCCAAGTGCAAAATTACCCGTGAAGATTTCTCAGTAATCATCATTCGTATTGGGTGATGTCAAGTAAAATATAGACGTGCTCAAGTAATGACATATCAAAAGCAATTAAGCATGATGAACGAAAGGAGAAAGCTTGCTAACCTGAATCAATAGAAGCTGAACAGCAACACGACATCTAACATCAGTAAGAGCAAAATATAGGGTTCTTGCTTTTTTTCCTTCAAGTTCTTCATTGGTGTATCTTGCTGATCCTTCAGTGCTTGACCCAAAGGAAATTTGTGTCGTCTCTTTAATGACATCAGCAAGATAAGTATCGGATGAAATAAGGGAGAAATCTGGAATTGTGGCTACTGCAGCTTCCTTCAGTGACAGAACAGCCTCACCCCACTTTTCCTCAGTAAGCAGGGACCCTGCTTTACTGATTAAACGAGTAAAGGCCGCAATGCCAATACCAGCAAGGCTCTGATGGGGCCGCTTTATAAAGCTTGTCAGCAACATTAACATTTTCCCTAGGAGAGGATTAACCATATCATAAAATCTGACAAAGAGATCCACAACTAGCTCGAGGGCCAATTTGCATGTTTCATAAAGCCAGACATCTTGATCTGGCTCACTAGAGTCATTTTCAAAATCTTCCGGTTGCATATTTTCACCAGAAGGTTCTATAGCATGTTTGACGTAATCAAATAGTGGGAAAAGAACAAAATCAAAAACTTTGTCCCATAGAGGCAGTGAGAAAATATGGCCATAATTTTCTAATGTATCAAATAGCGCTTGAAGTGCACTTTTCCTGATTTCAGCCCTCATATCAAAGGTGAGTTCAGATAATCCTGTTCAAGGATGAAGAAAAGTAGGATTAACAAATCCTAAACAGATATACCTTGCATATCTATCAGTGTGAGAAAATCATATTGAATTTTGCCAACATAATATGTAAAAAAAAAAGTCATTTTCTCTCCTAGACTACCGAAGAAGAGAAAAGTTAAAAACAAAATACCAGCCAACAAGGGGAACCAAAGAAGCAAATGATCATCCTTATCAGCTAACCGTGTAGCATTTGTTTTTTTCCCTTTATATATCCAAGTAGATGACGGAGCATTATTTGCTGAAGCCACCATCTTGTTTCCAAAATCACCTTCAGCAAGCTTAGTCGCACAGAAGATAAGGAAAGAGATTGCCTGCATGCTAAAATCCTTGCTGAACCTACTATTAGTGAAAGCAATCAGACAATTAATGCAATCTGAGAAAGCCGCATTCTCAGTTTCAGTTATGTATGGGAAGTAATCCTTTATAATCCTCTCGAGAATCTCAAAAGCCAAAAGCACTATGTTCTTGTGCTCATCATAAGAGGCAATGGTGAAGACCTGCAAAAACGTTATTACAAAGTTCATTAGTTTGGGAATAATTTAACTAGAAAACAGCAAATCACTTGAAGCTTTACGATAAATATTTGTAAATATTAGGATGGAAAGCTAGTAAGAAAGTCGGTTTATGAAAATTGGAAATTACCATAAACAAGCTTCTCCATCCAGACTTAACACACTTGACACGAGAGAATACCAACTGGGAGACGCATCTGATAATTAACTCCCTGATCTCAACAGCTTTGCTCTTACGCATAACAATGATAAAGGGCTTCATAAACTCGTTCTGAAAATTGTAGTTAGCTAATTCTTCACGATCCAAGAATTTCATTGCTAACTGGCGCAATGAATCAATTGCAAAAATTGAAACTGAGAGATTATCTGAGCAACCAACGGTGACAAAAAAGTCAGACAGCACATTCCAAATGTGTGACCATACAAGTCTGATTCGGCTCATGTTGTAATGCCTGTTTTAAGCGAAAGATCAAATTATTAAATATTCTAATATATTTTTTCTTCCATCAAAAAGAAAGTAAGACATGATTCTTACGCAATTTCAACTACTTTTGTCAGGCTAAACACGCGTGGGTCAGACGTAGAGCGCAACTCTTCCAAAGTTACCTTGCAAAGAGCTTTAACAAAATAGATTATTGCCTCGCTGTTCAACTTTTGACTTTGTGCAAAGATGCGGTTTATCTCAGAGATTCCAACTTGTTCCAACAAGTGCAGGTTGGAAACTAAGTTGCTCATTTGATCAGAAGTGATCATACCAGAGGCATGACCACCAACACCAGCACTATCATATGATCCCCTTCTTGCAGCTGCAGCAGCTTGTTGAAGCCGCCCAGGCCCTTTTTTCTTCAGCACAGGAAGGATTGATGGATTCATTTTCTTAGATTTATCTAACTCACCCTGTTGAATTGCAAAAAATGCAGCATCCGGAGGAGCACCCTCTCCTAAGAGATTCAAATGTTCAAAACGTGAAACACAAGTCAAGACATGTTCCCAAGCATCTTGCAAGTAATTTCCATCTTCATCTGCAATTAAAATGATTGCCTGAAGAAGCAATATCCATGTAAAAACGTAGAAAATATTAGAAGTCAAAAGCAAACACAGCCATACAAACTTAATTAATCAATTAGGTGGAAGAAAACAGCATGCATTAGCACCAACCATTTTTCATAAAATATGGTATAAAAAAATATTTGAATTTCTAAACAAAAAGAAACATAAAATTTCTGTAAATTTTGTCACAGAAACAGCATTATCAACTAGAAGACAGTTTCTCTGGTTTCTTTACCAAAAGAATTTTCTCCCATACCAAATCATACCAGAAAATCCAGCTAACGGTGATTTCATAGAATTCCATCCTTCCAGAAGCTAAAGATCTACGTCAACTTTAGAATTGAAGTTGTCAGTTGGTTATGTCAATTGTTAGGTTTACTTAAAACCATCTAAACTATGAATAGGCTCCTCATTAAAAATTCAAGGGTGACAGGAAAACAAGAAGATCGCCTTATCGTAACTGGATCATTCATGCAACCTTCCAACGATGCAACGTGGCCAAATGGAAGCACATGATTGGTGTAACATACGAATTAAGCAACGTAGGTAACACCAATCATAAATTGTTCCTTCAGATTGTCCTTCTGCATCCATTGGAGCATACTTACCTAGACTATTTCGATCAGAATTTATGCAGCATAAGGCTTAGAATGTGTTATGAGTAGGGCTAGAAAAAAAGTTCGTTGTTTGCAAACTGCTCATGTTTGGCTCCTTGAGAAACTCGTATTTGAATAATTTGTTAAGCGGGCCGAACAGAAATTTTAATCTCAATTTATAAAGAATTTGAACATAAAAAAACAATTATGTGATCGTGTTAAGCTCATTTTGGCTACAAATAATTTAGGGAATAAATAATTAAATTTTTTTTTTATTAATTTTAAATATTTCTATTAACTATATGAATCATAAACTTGTAATAAGCATTTTTTAATATATTTATTTGATCTCTTATGTTTTATCCAAAAAATTTTAAATATTAATATTTTTAAATAATTCAAGCTAAATACAAGCCACACATGAATAGGCAAATTCAAACGAATTTAACACAAATATGATTCACAAAAAGTTTTAAGCATGAGCCGATTTCAAACAACAAAAAATTCGAACAAATCAAACAAGAACAAACTATAAGCTTGAACAAACTCGGCTCATTGAAACTCCCAGTTACGGTGCTTATAAAAGACACTTTTGTCTTAAATAAAAGTTATTTTGTTAATTTAAGGTTGACTGGAGAACTATGCAACACCAACACTTCTAAACATATGTCGTACTCGTATCGAACACCTATTAGACACCGATATTTTTTCGATACATCCTGAAACTTTTCCGACGCTACAAAATATATGTGTAAATTTTTTTAAGGCCCGTACACGTCCGGAAAACACCTCAACACCGCATCGGACGTGAGCTTAACACGACTTCGAGAAAATGAGACACGAAAATTAGAAAATTATAAATATACGTATAGCATTAATTATGCCTCAATGTTGAAATCGCTCCATCTCTAGTCATGATGAAGCTCCTTCTAACATTCGTCAAAACCGAGCATTGATGGTGCATCTAATATTCATTGAAGCTGAGCATTACTAAATTCTTCTTTGTAATCATAGAATTTTTAAAATTTTAGTATATAAATTAGATTATTAGTTGGACGAATTCTTTTGAAACATATTATATCTGATTTTAAAAATTTATTTTCACAAGCATGAGATTTTATAATAAAAATTAAATTTATAGAGTTAAATTTTAATCTTGCATAATTCGTGTTGTAATATTTTTAATAAGGAATATTCAAAAAATATATAATTTATACTAATAATTAATTAAATATAAAAATGTGGTCATGATGTGTCGTGCCTGATTTTTTTCAATTATGTCGTGTCCCTGTATCGCATTTGTTTGTCTGTGCTTCATAGGTGGAGAAATTTCTCATAAGAATTATGTGATAAAAGGACATCCTGAAGACTTAAAATTAAGTTTATATAAAAGCAATTAGATGAAGATGTTGTACGGATAAAAGTATTATGAAGTTAAAAAACTACTGATATTTAACTTGACTATGGCAAAAGTGAGATATTAAGATGTATGTATAGAAAAACTAGGAATTTAAAGAAATGGTATGAATGACATCTTTAAAAGGTAAGATTGATGAAAATAAATCTATGTTGGTTTGAATATGTACAAAAAAAAGGAAGAAATGCAATCATTGAACAAGTTGATAAGTCAAAGTGATGAAAGCAAAGTTGGTGTTTCATTTTTCTATTGAACAAGAACGATACAATGTATCATATAGAATTCATAGACTGAAAAATAATAAAAATGCAAAAAATTAGTCTTTTAAGATGTGTTTGTTTCAGCTGTGGCTGCACAAAATCTCAGTTCAAAAGCAGCTGTGAAAATTCTATTTTTCAAAAGCTGGTGTTTCAGAAGCAGTTGATTTATTTGAAAAATACAGTTTTAAAAGTGTTGTCTATGGACAAATATCTAAAATACCCTATAGAAGTCATAGTTTTTATAAATATATGTAATTCTTATATTTAACTATATTAAATCAAACAAACATATATACATAATACTAGCTCATTCAATCAACCATATAATATTAATATATTAATATATTGAACGATTTGTAATGCCTGTTCACATTTATCAAATTTACAAATCGACATCTTGGATCCCATAAGCTCCCTCATACAACCACATTATTCTCATTTATTTTAATTCTCTTTTATTTTAATTCATCTCTTCATTTACTTGTTGAACTAATAAATTATTTTCTCATTTATTTAATTCTTAAATTAAACACAAGTCGAATCTAAAACATCTACTCTCCTAATCGGATCATCAGATGGTCGACATTTAATGTGACCAAACCATCTAAGACGACTTTCTCTAATTTTGTCCGTCACAGGAGCTACACCAACCCTATCACGAAAATATTCATTTTGCATTTTGTCTCTAAGTGTAAAGCCACTCATCCACCTAATCATTCTCATCTCGGCAACACTTAACTTATTAGTATGCTTCTCTTTTAAAGGCCAACATTCAGAGTCATAGAGCATTGCAGGTCTCACCACCGTCTTATAAAATTTTCCTTTCAGTCTAAGCGGTACTTTTCTATCACACAAAAAGCCCGAAGAATTCCTCCACTTCAACCAACCAATTTGAATTCTACTATTAACATCCCCATCTATATCACCATCGCTTTGAACAACGGACCCAAGATATCTAAATCGTTCACACCTTTTAATAATTTGATCACCCAAAGTCACACTTCTGTCACTAGAGCTATTACTACTAAAATTACATTCCATGTATTCAGTTTTAGTTCTACTAAAATGAAGGCCTTTAGACTCCAATGTTTTATCCACGAGAAGAATATCATCAGCAAAAAGCATACACCAAGGTACATCCTCTTGTAGATGTCCAGTAAGACCATCCATAATTAAAGCAAAAAGATATGGGCTTAAAGCCGATCCCTGATGTAATCCAACAGAAATAGGAAAATATTTTGTCAATCCTCCTTCAGTTTGAACACAAGTAACAGCTCTAGTATACATATCTTTAATGACTTGAATATAAGTCATATCAACACATTTCTTCTCGAGAACTCTGCAAAGGATATCTCTTGGAACCTTATCGTGAGCTTTTTCTAAATCAATAAAAATCAAATGTAGATTCTCCTTATTATCTCTGAACTTCTCCATCAAACCTCTCAATAAATGTATAGCTTCCATAGTAGACCTGCCCAGCATAAATCCAAATTGATTATGAGAAATTTTTGTGATGCATCTTAACCTATGTTCAATTACCCTCTCCCATAATTTTAAAGTATGACACATCAACTTAATTCCTCTATAATTCGCACACTGTTGTGCATCCCCTTTATTTTTAAAAATGAGGACCAAAATACTCTTCCTCCACCCCTCAGGCATCTTTTTAGTTTTTAAAATAATATTAAAGAGTTTAGTAAGTCAAGAAACTCCCAAATCTCCCAAATATTTCCACACTTCAATTGGGATATCATCTTGTCCTACAGACTTTCCACCCTTGGTTTTCTTTAAAGCCACCTCAACTTCTTTTTTGCTAATGCGACGGTAAAAATGAAACGTTTTATTATTATTCATGATATTAAGATCACTAAGGTCGATCGTATTTTCAAAAACTTCATTAAAAAGTTTATCAAAGTATTTTATGTATTCACGTATCTAACACCCCAATTTTGATTTTTACATTTATTCCACCAAAATATTTCATATCACATCTAATATATCACAATTTTTAGTTAAAAAAAATGAAATACACCTTTCTTATATGTGTAAGGTGGTATATATATAAAATTTGAAATTTTGGCGTAAGATACTTAAATACATAAAAATTGAGTGGTGTGTATGTAAATCCTCAAAATTTACATAAAAATATACTTCTTTTAATCTTAGTCTTAAAAATATTTTTTAAAATTTTTAATTCATTAATTTAGGACATGTGTCTGACAAGTGTGTCCTTTTTTTTTAATAATATTTAAATCCAAAACATTTTTGTCGTGTCAATGTCCGTGTTTGTGTCTGTGTCCATGCTCGAGTTCGCATGGTTCCTTATTTATAAGTGTTTGTGCATCATAGATAATCACTGGTATCACAATCAATAAAATCACACATCCAACTTGCACACACAAGATTAAAAAATGGAAGACGAAATTTTATTCTATCAAAAAATTTAAATTACATTTCCGAGGTACTACATTAATAAATATGAGGCGCAAAATTAATCTAATTCAATTCTAGATATCTATCAAAATCAATTTTTAATTTTACAACTAAACAAATAAATGAAAACTTGTGTATTCCAAGTGAAAAATACAGCAACATGAGATTGAAAAAAGCCGTTAAAGGGGGAAGAATAGTAGAAATTGGAAAAAGAGGTGTCATAGACTTATAAAAATAACACCACACATAAAATAATGAGGCCAAAACAAGACCCACAAAAGAGCAGGGATGTAACAACACACACATAAAATGTAGGAAGCGTAGAAATTTAATAGCCTGTAGTAGTGAACAGACCTCAAGTAGACCTGCTAACAAAAGCACCCTAAAAGGGATTTTTTAAGTTCTCTTGACTGTTTTTGAGGAAGAAAAACCAACAAATAGAAGTAGTGTCTATTTGGGAGGAATTTTGACCACCTTCTCCTCTCTTGTAATTTTCTACAAAAAAGCTGTTTCTGTAGAAGTAAAATAAAATAGTGGCCGCAAAAATAATTTTTCAAAGCAAAAACATAAAAGCGTAAGCCATGGCAAACGAAATCTTAGTATAAGGCATCAAATGTCCAAGCCAGAATCCTTTTTTTTTATTGCCCAAGCCAGAATCTTAATATCCAAATCATAAATATGTTTGATCAACAAAACTGTTGTAAATAACAATCATTAAAAAAAAAACCTAAAAAAGAAAAAAGTTGCAAAAGAACATTGCTACATTTTTTATCGAGATCGATATCCAAGAAATAAAAAGGTGCGATGCGAACCATTCCAGTGCTTTCAACATAATTTTCTCAAAAACCACACAAATCAAAGAGTGAAGATAGTAGCCTACAACATATTATTGACACGGATGTGCAAGTACACGCATGTTAAAAGCCTGAATGTGCAGCTCAACAAGATATAATCATATAGAAAACAAATTTCAGCTGAATTAAGAACATATTATTAAGTAAATGACCATCAGCAAGCAAATGACAATACTACAAAATTAGGATTTATTGATTTGATATTTAGTGAATATCGAGCAAACCTTTATGGCGTCAATATTTTTCTGCCTTATATCTGCAGCAGAATGGAGGGAAGTGAACTTTGCCAGTGATGTAACAAAAGCATCTCTTTGTGTCTTCATTAACAATGCGGCCGTAACATGTATAGCATACCTAAATCCTTCAAGACAGGCAGATAGTACAGCTAGATCATCACTCTGGTCAAGAGCAACACTAAAAGCAGCCAACATAGGAGCCCAGCAAACCTCCATCATGGATCTCAAAATAACTACATCCTTGGCAGAACAGGAAACTGAGCTGAAATTTGCAAAATATTAACAATAATGCGTGCTTTCAACTTTCAAAATTGCACTCAGATATATTACAAAAAGTTGGACGCATCTATCAGGGTAAGAGGCAAAGTTTTAGAGCCTTAGTGAAGTAAGAAAGAAGAATATAGTTAAACAACACAGCGAAGGGATCAGTGCAAAAAAAATTTGCTCAAAACAAAATGTCAATGAACTGGTCACGAGTAAACAATAGTAAATAGATTTCTTACTCTGATTTGCGAGCATTTTTTGTAGTGTGTTCTTGCATGTGCCTGATGACGTCCTCACTGGTTTCTGTTGTTTTATCTCCATATTTGTCAATGGAAATATTCAGAATGTTATCCAAGGCAAATATTGTAGTATGGCATGCAGACTGTTGTGGCTGAGGAGCAAAATCATCCTCTTTCATCTTTATTTCATTCCTTGAAATTCTTTCATACAAAGATTTTAAATATTCTTCAGGAAGATCCTTACCACCATCAATGCCACGACTATTCCTAATAAAATTATCTGCAGACATCTGAAAGAAGCCAAAATATATGAAAATTTTGTTAGATACACAAAAATAAAACCCCATCATACAAGCACACCAGTACACCACAGCACTGCTTACATACCTTATGTTTAACCATTGGATTATGAGCATCAATATTTAGCAATAAAATAGAATATGCAAGAACATAAGCAGTGCCGGCACTAGTAAAAGTGTTTGGATTGCATTTGCAATAATGCTCAGCAAACTTCTCCATGATACGATCAATCTTTTGTGCCTCCCCTGGTAACCTAAAGCCATGAAGAAAAGCCCTTATAGCCTCATCAATCTCCATGCCATGAAAATCAAAGGTATCCACATAGGCATGCATTACTTTTAGGGAAAATTCTTCTCTTTCACCCAGAAAATCACCAATCAGGATCTTGCTCAACCCAGATGTACTTTTAAGGAAAGAAGCTATTTCCTCAGCGGAGTCACCAACCTTCTTAGCATTGATAAGAAACTGAATGCCTTCTTTGGGCTTCCTATTAAACAGAGATATGCCTTCCTGTCATTAAATCAAATTTGAGTTGTTCGGTAAATGACATCTCTATAAATCAGGCACACAGACACAAGTAGTCTACCTGAAGTCCCAACTCATAATCCTGGCATTGTTCTAATACTGCAGCTTCAGAAACTCCATTTATTGTTTCAGAATCCACCCGTTCTGCAGGGTCCTCAATATTGCCATTTTCCAATGGAAGACCACCCATACTTATAATAACATTTCCAGAAATTGATTCAATACAACTAGAAGCATGGGGATCGGGTATTCTCATCTGTTTGTTCATCCATTCTCCCATTGATCTCAAAATGGCTACCAAACACCTCATAGCTTCAAGTTTCATCATGGCATCCTGAGGTGGTACAAAGGTCGTTGCAGCACCAGAATGACCTTGAGCTGTTTTAAGCAAGCCGTTGACCATTCTACATAAGCCAAAAAGGCATGTCAAAAACGTTACAATACTTGAAAGAATAAAAGAAAATAAACATGAAGCATGAATCTTTCTTGATGAGCTAGTCAAATCATATAAAGTTTTGAAGATTGGATACCTGTATAAGAGGTATTATATTTATCAACAAACTTAGGATAACTAGATACTCTAAAACTTCCAAAGATATTTCAAAATCTCCAATTATCAACCAATTTTTATCTTCAACGAAAAATAGCTTTGACACTTCTGCAGGATGTTCCAAAATTACATTTTAGAAGTGATCAGAATAAAAATAAGGTGATAAGCCTGATGATGATTAGCTAAATATTTTTTTTAGATTTTATTACTAGCATGTATGCACATATGTTACTAATCAGTATTGCATGCATTATGCATGAATGTTTGGTGTCTGCGTCTACATTAAACATAAATAAAAAGATGCTTCTGTATATTGACTATAAATGTGTGTATGTTTATTATTTTTTTTATGTGTTATAGATATACATGGCACTTGTACATGCAGATGTTATATTTTATTTTCCATATTGACATTTGCCTTTCCAAGACCAACTGTTGTCATGTCCATGCTTCATAGATTTATGATAATCACAGAACTATTAGCATAACTTTTTGCTGCTAATACAACTATTTCGAAAAAAATTAGAAGCATATGAATAACAATGTAAGCATAGAATGAAAAAACAAAGATTTAATACCTCTCAAAAATGTTGGGCGAGTGAACATCACAATCATAGTTAGCAAAAATTTCAACAAAAATGTGAGAATCAATACAGAGCTTTTCCAAAAATCGAAGCACGATCATTTTCTGTTGAATATTTGGTTGAGAAACATTTTCTAAAACTCTCAGGATAATCATCGGAAAGAAGACTCCGATCTCTGCCTTTAGACGTGGTCTGAATCTTGATAAAAGGCTCATGAAAATCGAACAGGATAACTGAAAAATGATAATAAGAGGCGAAGCACTATTCTTTAATAAAGACAAGCATAGATACTGCTTTATTGCCCCTAAGAACCTGGTAAGATTGAAAACAGAATAATTAGTTTGAAAAGCAATTTTACAAAATAATGCAATTTAAACAAACTTAATAACACAAATGTGTCTTCAAACAAATAAAAAATAATTCAAACGTAACATAAAATAAGGTAGGATCATGTACTGACAAACACGAAACATAGTAAGTAGTTAATAGTGACAAAGGTTTAGACTTCAGATATTAAAGATAAAAGATAAACATAAACATGGACGCAGAAAGATTCTCAAACGCCAAACATTCAAGGCAATATAAAAGATAACAAGTTCTTGTTGTTCATATCCTTGCACAAAATAAAACGATATGTTATGCTTTGAAATGCTATGAATTCAACGTATTTTGGAGGTTTGGCCAGTTATTATCAAAATACAATTGAGTTCAAATTATAATATTATTAAGATGTCAGTGCAATCCACACGTTAATTGGTTAAATGCTATTGACCTTAAATATCACGAGTCAATCTATTATTAACTCTATTTTTTTCTCCAAGCTTGTTAACCATGAAAATGGGTATTATATAGATATCACGCAACATCTACCAGAGTAAACAACAAAATGGTTAAAATCTTGAGATGTCAGAGCAAAGCCGACAAGCAAAACCTCAAATAATATAGTATGATATCAAAACGACAGTAAAACAAATATACCTTCAAAAAACCATCATCAAAAATGCATTTTTTGTTACTTTTTTGGCTCCTCTATATAATGCGATTAAATGAATTTAACATCTTACAGACGGTATGCAATAAAATAAGCAGATAACAAGCAGAAACTAGGTCGTAATTAAATATAGTTGGCAGAAATCCTTATAGTTTGACAAGAACAAACCTTGCAAACAAAACAACAAGGATTAATTTTGACAAATTGAGTCAAACAGCAGAAGAATCAAGATATGGAGTAAACAAAAATAGAAGAAAGGAACATCTCAACATCCAAACAAAAGACCCCACAATAAGTATGAAACCATAGTTGGCATTGCATATAAAGATCATCCAAGAGAGTTAATAGATTTTTGGTCGAGCATCACAAAGTTAACTATGGATGATGTTTAGTGATAAAAAAAGGTATCCTTAATGTGAATTCAAATTCTGTATACTTCAAAACAACAAAATATTTGTGATTGTTGTAACAAATTAGTTTGAACTTAGAATATTTACTCTTTCAAATATTAATTTTAATACTAAATTTTGCATTTAACTTTACTTGTAATTAATTAGTTGAGGTAGTGGGAGTCTGTATTCATAGGCCTATGATGTTATCTTATTCTTGAGGCTACAACTTTCCTATTCATTCAATTACCAGTTGTGGCTAATTGGTCTTGCAGTTTTTTACATACTCCAAAGGTTTATTTGGTTTATACTATTATCTATTTATCAGTTCTTTTGCGAGATAATTTTGACTGTCTTTGTCCTTCTATTTTGTGACTCATCCAATGGTTCCTATAGTTGGTAACATGGTCGTGTAATTGGCTATACTCGATTGTTAAATAAACTAGCTACTTTTCCTCTATTCAGCGGTAGAACCTGGTAATGGTGAATAACAAAACATAACACAAATCCAATGCATTGCAAGGTGTGTCATTTAAAGCATAGTACAAAATATTTTAAAAAATAAATAAGTCAATAATATAAGGAAAAAATACCATAATACAAAAAAAACACTATCAATGTCTTATAAAATAACAAATTTTAACCATTTAAATTACATGTTCGTAGACGTAGACGGTCCCTTAAGCAACTGATAGCAAAATAGGGCCTGCAGGGGAAGATTTCGGCCAACTGGCGGGAGGGCCTACAAAGGAGAGATATAGCTGCAGAAGGGAAGTCTGACAAAGGGACAGCCAGCAGGGGAGCGACCAACGGGGGGAGAGCTTGTAGGAAAGGGTACCAGCTGTTGAAACTTTCAAGGGAGAGACCGCAGCAACGAAATCCGGGCTGATAAACTGCAAAGAAAGGTCTGCAAAGGAGTTTCGGCGGCTGAAAAACTGCAATGGAAGGCCTGCAAGAGAGTTTCGGCGGCTAGGGTGCTGTCACGACAACTAAGGTAATGTCCCAATGGCTAGGGTAAGATCCATACACTGATACCATGTAGATTTTTGGAATTGAGTAGGTTAATATTATTGATATTAAAAGGAGTATAAATATAGGATAACATAATTTTAAAATAGATAAATACAATGCACAAATCTCTCCCTAATAACTAGACCATAATAAAAGGAAAGTCATAAGCAAGGAAATAAAACAAATTTAGGAAATAATTGCAAAGGAAACTAAATAACTTCTAACAATTAAGTTTACCAAATTGATTCAAACAACGAAAGAATCAAGATTTGGAGTAAACAAAAATAGAATAAAGTCACGTCTCAACATCAAATCTAAATACCCCACAATATGTATGAAATCATAGTTGGCAATGCATATAAAAACCCTCCAAGAGAGTTAATGGATTTTTTTGTCAAATATAAAAAAGGTTTACGTGAATTCAAATTCTATATAATTCAAAACAACAAAAAAAATTTTGATTTTATGTTGTAACAAAGTAGTTTGAACTTAAATCTTTTACTCTTTCAAAAATTAATTTTAATTTTAGATTTTGCATTTAAATTTAGTTTTAAATAATTAGTTAAGGTAGTGAGAGTACGAATTCATAGGCCTATGATGTTATCTTATTTTAAAGGGCTATAATTTTCCTATTCTTTCAATTGTTTGTTGTGGCTGCTTGGTACTGTTGTTTTCACATTCTCCTATAGTTGATTTGGTTGATATTGCTAGATAATTTTGACTGCCTTTATCCCTATATTTTGCGACTCGTCAAATTACACTTATAGTTAGTTACATGGTTATGACATTGGTTCTATTCTATTGTTAAATAAGCTAGCTACTTTTTCCTTTATTTGGTAGTCAAACTTAGTGATGGTGAATAACAAACCATAACACCGATCCAGTACATTGCATAGTGTGTACCATTTTAAACCTAGCACAAAATATTTAAAAAAGTAAATTATTGATAAATAATTCAATAGTATAAGAAAAAAAATCATAATAAAGAAAATCACTGTTAAATTTATATAAAATAACAAATTTTAATGTTTTAAAGCACATGTTCGTGCCTGATATATGTTTTTATCAAGACAACATGTTTTCATGCCAAAAATTTCTTACAAGTTTGACATAAATCCAAAATTTTATTTTTCAAGCTAATCAATAAGCCTGTGGAACTTTGTGGCTTAATTAACTAATAAGATTATAGTTCTGCAAACTGAACAAAACTAGGTTGAATTGATGAATCATATTAAATCAAATAAAAAAAAGTAAAACAAATAAAAATATATTAATAGGTAAAAAAATACATGCAAAAATAGAACTCAATTGCATTTGATTTGATATGTGAGCAATCCCAAGCAAATGGAGTCATAATGTGTCCAAACAACTCAAGACTTTATGCTCCAAAGAAAACAAAGCTATCCATATCTGCAAAGAGGAGTCATTATCGTCGCAAAGAAAACTTATGCCAATCCTACGTGCAAAGAGGGGGCTTAATCCCGGGTTTGCAAGTCGAAAAGGAGGTGAAGACATCCCTATGTGTGAAGAACTATGAAAAGAGCCAAGTCGATTGAGTGTGTGACCTTAAGGGTTACCATGAGTGAGGCACTAAAACTTTAAGAAAACAAAAATTAATATAGAATAGAAATTAGATAATGATACTAATAATTTAAAGCAATAAAATAGCACACACTACAACGACAATGAATCTTGCACTATAGCCCATCAAAAGCACAAATAATGCATGATAATGACACCCTGAACCTCGTTAATAAAAATAGTGTGGGGTGTGTCTCATCATACTATGGGCAATAGCAAATGTTATCGTGTGCTATCAACATGTATGTTGGTGTTGGATCCAACAATTCTTATTTTTGCAACAAGATGACAAAAGTGTAGAAGGGTTTGTTATGAGATTTTCAAAGTGTTTAGAGGTTAGCCATAGCTTCTCTAGTTTGATTCTATTATTGGGCCCTTTTCTGTTTTTAACTATATTCTATAATGATTATAAAAAAAATGAGGCCTGTAAAAAGACAATTGCATGGTTAATTTTAAAAAAAAAACTGTTTTAGATGTACAATCCTCCTTAATGAAGTGCATGCCTTACAAATCAAAAAGAGGCTATCTTCCTGTAGAAGTGTAGAAGTTTGAAAGGGTGAAACATTTTTTTCAATGACATCTTCACATTTTTTTTCTTTCTCTCCCTCATTATAATAACCATCCAGTATAAGTTGAAATGATGGAATTTTATCAAAGTTGCTGAAATCCAATTTTCATTCTTTTATGTAAATGTCATGCATTGCAATCCTAAACTTTCTTATCATTAATTTCTAACACAAGGACAAATATTTTGACTGAATTAGCTTTTGCGTTTTTTATATTTGGTCATCCTCAAAGAAAGTAAATAGTTGTCAATTTAATAGCAACTTACACGTGTGAATTACATATTTTTTACATCATTTGGTTGTATCATAATCAACATTAAAAGCTATATTTGAACTAGAAATTTTGAAGCATAAGATAAAGAACATTACATCTATTATTAGAGCTATTTTATATCATAGCACAGCTACAAGTAGAGTTTAATCTAATGACTACTCAGCAATTCAACAAAGAGAAGCAATCTTATAAGAACTGGGAAAACAACTAATTAATACTGCATAACAAGATCAAATGAGGACATGGATTGGGTGAAGAAGTGTTTGTCGATGCATCACAGCTAAAGATCAATATGTTGTACTAGTGTTGCCAGGACTATAGTATGGTCTTAATATCAAAATGATTGTAGCATGGTCTTTTGTCACTTGTATTTCGAAATTTTAGCGGAAAAGCAATGAAGGATTTTTATTAGCTATCTTTCTAAAATTTTAAGTTTCTTGGTTGTGATTCATTTATACATTATATACATGTTATACGAAGAAGTTGCATACAATGTATGT